TATTAGTAAAATACTTTAGTACTGAATACTTTTATTCATTATTTGCTCTAATTTGAGGATATTTGGCTTCTTTTTATTGTTGGTGTGTGTTACTTGCTGTTGAGTTGGCTCCGATACCTGGAGACTCTCTGAATGGGTGATGTCCACAATGTCCTGTTTTTAAAAGCCCTGCTCACCTCATGCCTATGGCTCCCTTATGGAATCATTCCATCTCATATTTGGTCTTCTTCTTTTCTTGCTGCTGCTGCTATTTTTCCCAGTGTTATTGTCTTTTCCAAAGAAACTGCCTGTACTTGGGACAAAATTGGGAATGAAAATATAGTATTTAAGTCTAAAGCAAATTAATTTATCTGCATGTTGCTTTTCAGAAAGTCTGTGCTAAACTACTAAGTTAGCAATAATGAGTGAATATAGCAATTTCTCTGCAGTATCACTAGCATTGTATATTTGGGTTTTTGTTTGCTAATTTTACTGTGTAAAACAATATCTTAAGGTTTTATATTTCATTGATAACTAGAGATGCTAATATTTACCACATTTATCAATTTTATTTCCCCTTTCATAAACTATCATATTGTTTGCCGACTAACTTATTTGGAATCTTGAATCATTCTTACAAATTTGAATATAAATTATCATCATCATATTAAAATTCTATAAGATATAACAATATTATCCTTTTATTTAGGTTTTATTTATATTATTTTCCAGAGATTAATATTCACACATATTTCATCATAATTTCTCCTATTAATTCCAAAAGAGAAAAATGTTATTCCACCACAGCTATTAATTATTCTGTTCCATTACTTTCTAATTTTTTAATGTTTATTTTAACTATTTAATGCACTTGACATGTATTTTACATTTTTTTAATCCTCACCCAAGGATATGTTTGTTTTTAGAATTGATTTTGAGAGAGAAACATTGATCGGTTGCCTCCCATACACACCCAAACCAGGGATAGAACCTGAGAGCGGGGTAAGTGCCCTGACTGGGAATCGAACCCACAACCTTTTGGTGTACAGGAGGACATTCATCGAACTGAGTCACCCAGCCAGGATCACCTGACATGTATTTTAAAGTCAAAGAGTAAGGGAGAAATAACATTTTCCACAATTGTTTCAAACATACTTATATAATAATTTTATATAATAATTATGTTTAAATTTTTTGCCATAGAAGGTTTATGTTAGTATATAACAAGAGTTGGTATATAATTATTGGTATTTCAGATCTTGACCTTTTATTCCACTCAGTGTTTAAAATGTTGCACAAATTGTGTAAAATATCATGTATTGATGCTAATTAATATTTCTAATGTCTGACAGGGCAAGTCACTTTTTATTATTTAATAATCTTTATATTTTCTTCTAAATAAATGTTTTATAAGTTTTCTTTTTATGAAGAATCATAACAAGTTCAAATTTTGAAGTAATTATTTAAATTGGAATGTTTTATATACATTATGTAGAACTTGTATTTTTAGTAATATAAAATAGTCCCTTCCAGGAATATGTTCTATACCTCCGATTATTTAAATTTTCATTTAAATCTTCCAGTGAAAGATATATAGTATCTGTACATAATAAAATTCAACTTTATCCCTAAATATTTTATATATTTCTCACTCAGATAAATCTCTCCCCTTTTAAAATTATATATTTTAGCTATTGTTCATTACTGGAATATAGAAATATAGATATAATATATCTTTGTATTACAACTAGGTATTTACTACTTTATGATAAATTTACATGTATATTATAAGTATATAATTTTATATATGTATATACATACTAAAATACACTCCTAGCCAATATTTACATTTTATTTCTTTTTCCTCAATATTTTCTTTCTCAAGAATCCTAAATGTTTTATTAATAGCATAGAAATATTACTCCTGATTTTAAAATTAATCCATTTCTTTTAAGAGTCTCAAAACAGCTTTGTGTTTATTTTATTTAAAAATGCACACATGTGAAAAGAAAAAAAAAAAGCCTTGGCCAGTGTGGCTTAGGTTCGAGCACTGTCCTGTACACCAAAGGGTTGCAGGTACCATTTGTTTGGGGCACTGCCTGGGTTGTGAGTTTGATTTTCTGCCATGGGTTGGGGCTCGTATATGAGGCACAATCAATGTTTCTCTCTCACCCTTCCCCCTCCCCAAAAAATGTACACATGTATACTTAGATATACACACATACCCAGAGATTTCTGTATAAATGTTGCTATTGATTGTAATACTATTTTTTCTATTTAGCAAAAAAATAACTTTTATTTTATATTATAAAATACATTTATTAAGTTTCAGTTATAAATTTTGGCAATTACTTTTTAGATATTTATTAAATTATTGCATGTTCATTTCTCAATTGTTGATGTGGTATTATGTTCAATTTTTTCTGATATTGATATTTATTCTTAAATTTCTATGGGGGAAAAAATCTCCTTCCTATTTGTTCATGGTATAATACTTTTTAAGAATAGCAACTGAATTCAAATGTGAGTACTTTATTTAATCATCAACCGTTATCAGTGAATTATTATCTACATCAGTGAGATGAGTGAGATGTCTTTGTCATTAAAAGGAACAGGGAAGTATTGATGTAGGATATTTCAAGGAGTTATTTTAAAGGAATACAGAGAGGAAAATATCAAAGGCAGGTAAAGAAATGGTCCTAAAAGACAAACATCACACGAAAAGTTTTCCTAGGGAAAGTCCAGTGGAAAATAGTCTCATTATATAGAGTGGGGCAAAAATTGGTTTACAGTTGCTTATATGGAAAATAATACAAAAATTAATGAATAATAATACAAGAATAAACTCTGCTTTGTATACTCACAACTGTAGACCTACTTTTGCCCCACTCTGTATTTTGAATTAAATTAAATTATAACCAAGGATAAAAGTAACCATCTCTGCAATTGCTGACAAGGAACACCAACCTGTGAAGACAGAGTGCCCTTTCCCTTGGTTATGGCTGCAAATAGCAAAAGAATGCTTTGCAGGGACTGGGTGGAAAGGCTGAAGGAATTAAGAAATATGAATGTGTAGTTACGTAATAAACACAGGATGTAAAGTAGGGCATGGGGAATACAGTCAATGATATTTTGGTGACTATGTACAGTGCCAGGTGGGTACTTAGGAGAACAGAGGGAGCACTTTGTAGGTAGGATACATGATTGTCTGACCACTAAGCTGTACACCTGAAACCGGTACAAAATGGTACTGAATATAAACTGAAACTGAAAAAAAAAAAAAAAAAAAGTACACTTGAAACAATATAAATGCATTAACCAATGTCACCCCATTACCAGAGCAATAACCTGGTTATTACTTAAGAGGAAAGGAGTAAAGGAAAGATTAGCTAATTTACACTCCAGGTCTATTCCCCATGTGCGAGAAGGAGCTGTACAAAGGCAGTTTAGACTCATTCCCAGTGGGGTCTGAGTGACGTGGGAGGTGCCTAGCTGTCCTTCACACCTGGAAGCAAGTCAGTGGCCAGAATAGGCGTGGCCACTGCAAGTGTGCGAAACCTGAATATTTCATCTCCTAGCCAGGAGTGGGGAATGTCCAGCCCACTATACGAGGCCTCCAAAATCAATACCAGCTCACATCGCACGCCTCACTAAAGTAGCCTGACCAAAAATAGCAGGCTAATTTATTTAAGTTGATAATTTGGTGTGGCACATGAATGATGTTATAAATCTCTAAATGGCTCTTGGCAGAAAAAAGGTTCCCCCTCCTGTGACCTAGACAAAGGAGAGGTACCCTCAACTCTTTCTCTCTCTTACTGCTTAAGCCAGACTCCTGACTTTCAGGGCTCCCATGCCCTGCACTTGACATGTGGCCCATAGCCATAGGGGACACATGCAATAAATGAATCTGAACTAATCCTAATCTGGACACAGCTGTACCATCAAAGGGAAACTCTGGACTCGCAGTGCTTTTCACTTTGCTAAAGCCCCAATTCTCTTCCAGAATTGGCTTGGAGAAAATGGGACATTGAAAACTAAGAAGTATAATTTCATGCAAATGAAGTCTTCCACTGCCTTGTCAGTGTGGCTCAGTGCTTTAGCGTGGACCCATGCACCAAGAGGTCACCAGTTCGATTCCTGGTCAGGGCACATGCTCAGGTTGTGGACCAAATCCTGGTGGGGGGCATGCAGGAGGTGGCCAATTGATGTTTTCGCCCATTGATGTTTCTATCTCTCTCCCTCTCCCTTCCTCTCTAAAATCAATAAAGAAAAAAAAGTCTTCTACCACCTCTCATATTCCCTTTGGGGCCTCTAAATATGCTTATTCTGACTGTGCCCCAAAAACCCCACTCCCATTAGTGAGGGAGGAATCTGATTCTCCAGTAACAACATCAATAAATTTAATTTTAAAAATGAGGACAAATGTTAACATTAAAACAAAGGAATGCTTTTAGAATCTGGCATTTCATTTCTGATTTTATTTTATTACAATCTTTCCTACTTATGAAATTACTTAAAATAGCTTATTTGGTTCTTATTTACATAAAAATTCAATTATGGAATATATTTCAAAACGTACAAAGAAAAATATTCTGGATTACTCTAAAATGTGTAAGCATGCCTCTGAACCTTTACAGGTAAAGTGTTCTTCATCTTGTCAGTGTCTTAAACTCCAATTTAACCTTTGAAACATTCCTTAATGCAAAATCTTTCCTGATTCTACCTGCAGCTCTGCAGGAAGTTTGTTTCCCTGACCACTCTCAACTGTATCTTTGTTTCTGGTACATATAATGGGATACATAGGCCTACGAGCTGGGGGACGGGTGCTGGGGACGGAAATTCCAATCCTAAATTTGCTGCTCACTAGCAGTTGTGAGACTAAATGATCACTGAAGGATTTTGTTTTATCTTTTGCTAAGCTACTTTCAGGCTTCTCTCATGTCTCGCAGCCCCAAACAAAATTGCTCTAAGGCTTTGAAACCTCTAATAAGAGCTATGCCAGATTTAAAGCATTTCAATGAATACTTACCTAACAGAAAAATTACCATGATCACAACGGTGGTTTTCTCAGGTTGAGGTTCTTCCATGCACTCTGGTGTGTTGACCCCTGCAATGTCCCCAAATGTGGGACACTCCACTGCGTAATGTGTGGCAGGGGGGCACTGCATTCTCACTTTCCCCTGAAAAATAAAAATAAAAAAATTTAAAAAAGAATTTCCTTGAGGCATATACAGACAAACATTTCTTGGGATTTATTTCAAAGTTAGTTAAGAAGATAGGATTGAAAAGACCAATAATTTGGTATTGTAGGTTTATATTCATACTAAATCACTAGGAAGAGCAACTTCCACACAACAGTAAACAACCCCTCTTTGTGTCAAGTCGGTGACACTAGGGAGGGAGGAAGGGTAAGAAGTGACTGAGACAATGCTCATTTTGATTTGTTACTGCTGTTATTGGATAAAGCATCCACATTTCAACACATTCACAATTGTATAGAAAATGGAGCCTCTGTCCTTGCTATTTTCTGCCAGCCTTGGGGTCAATCTCTTTTTATTATCAGCATCATGTAAACTTTCTTTGTTTGTGTGTTTGTTTTGTCTAAAGCCAGTAGCAACCATACTATGTTCAATTCCACAAATAACAGTCCTTCTAAAGGTTCAAAAGAGATATGGCATCTAGGCCATACAAGTTCACTTTATAAAGGGCCAGCATTTTTACACACATACCACACACACACACACACACACACACACACACATTCTTCACACATACCCATCAATGTTTTTTCCTTTTTCTTCTTAGGGAAAATTATATATATATATATATATATATATATATATATATATATATATATGGATTAGCTCACATTTTTTTTGAAAAGGGCAACAGAAATCTATTTGCAAGTCTGAAATGAATTTTTAAAAAAAGCCTTTTGATTATACTTAGAATTGGGAACACTATTTCCAAGTGGATATAGTCCCAAGAGCACAGGATGTTTTATTATTCTTTTTAAATATTGTATCAAATAATGTTCTGTCATATTATGTCAAATGTTTTGCTTATAAATATTACTTGTAGCATAATTGTTCAGTAGGTATGTCATTAAGTATTCTACTTACTAAGTAAAGGAAATCATGATTTAATTACCCAAACTAATGTTAACTAAATGCATTATGTTGTCCTTAGTTATGATTTAAAACATTGGTATCAATTCCTGGTAGAAAACACAAAGATATTTTCTGCTTTTGATAAATTAATCAAATAATGTTAAGTAATTTTCAGTAATGTATTTCTCTGGATTCCAAATAAGCATCCACATACTCAGGGCACCAGCTGGGGGCAAAAATCAGTTTAAAAAAAAAAGAGTCCTATGAGGCTAAAAGAGAAAATTGTACAAATCAATATATATCATCTTAAAATGGAAAACATAAATCAATTATTTCAAAGCAAGAATGTCTATCAAAGGAAGTAATCTATTAGAAACGAATGTAGACCAATCAGATGCTATCTCTCAAAGAACTGAATAGTCAGAAGTTTAATCATTTTTCAATGAACAATTATATAATTAATCGCCCTTCCTTGACCTTTCAGTTAAGGTTAAAATCTCATTGATAAAATCTTCATAAAACAATGCCAATTAAAATCACATTTACACAGGAGCTCTGAAAGAGGTCCCTATAGTCACAGCTGAAACAATTTGAGCAAATATAAATAAATAACAATAGTATTGGGTTTTAACAAGGAATAAAATCATTATCCTTGAGTCGGTATTGATTTATTTTTAAATTTTTATACGTAGAATTTTTGTGCAATACTATAACGTTTTTTCTCTTAATATACAGTTCTCTAAATTTTAACATGTGCATAGATCTGTGTAACCCAGCCAAGGTACAGAACAGTTTCATCAAGCACAGAACTCGCTTGTGCTGTTCTTCTACAGTCACTTCCCTCCTTGACTCTACATCTGGCACCCACTGACCTATACTCTGAAACTAAATTTTTTTGAAACGTTATACAAATGGACTCATATAGTACATAACCTTCAGAAACTGGCTTTTTCTCTCAGCCTCATACTTTGATGTTTACCTGAGTTGTTGCATATATGGTAGTCCCCCCTTATCTGTGGTTTCACACTTAGCAGTTTCACTTTCCCTGGTTTCAGCTACCTGCCCTCAACCAAGGTCCGAAAATATTAAATGGATAAATCCAGAAAAAAAATTCATAACTTTTTTAAATTAATTTATTTTTGTTACAGATGCTTCTTCTTTTTCCCCCACTGATTCCCCCCTCCTCCAGCCTCCCCGCGCTGTCCCCAGCTTTGTCGTCCATGTCCATTGTTCATGCACACATGCATATAAGTTCTGTGGTTTATCTCTCCCCCACTACCCCTCTTCTGGGGATTGTCAGTCTGTAACCCACTTCCACATCTCTGGGACTACCCATTCCTCAGATTGTTATGTTCATTATATTGCATAAATAAGTGAGATCGTATGATACTTGTCTTTCTCTGTTTGGCTTGTTTCACTTAGAATGATACTTTCCAGGTCCCTCCATGTCGTATCAAAGGATAAGAAAACTTTCTTTCTTACAGCTATATAGTACTCCATTGTGTATATGTACCACTGTTTTTTCATCTATTCGTCTACTGGTGAACATTTGGACTGTTTCCAGATCTTAGCTATTGTAAATAGTGCTGCTACAAACATGGGGGTACATGTATTCTTTCTGATTGGTGTTTCAGGCTTCTTAGGGTATATTACTAGAAGTAAGATCACTAGGTCAAATGGACATTCAATTTTTAAATTTTTGAGGTAACACCATATTGTTTTCCATAGTGGCTGCTGCACCAGTCTGCATTCCCACCAGCAGTGTACTAGAGTCCCCTTTTCTCCACAACCTCGCCAACACTTGTTTGATGATTTGTTGATGGCGGCCATTCAGATAGGTCAAAACAGCCTGGTACTGGCATACGAACAAGCATATAGACCAGTGTAACAGAACAGAGAACCCAGAAATGGACCCAAGGCAATATGCTCAATTAATATTTGACAAAGGTGGCAAGAGCATACAATGGAGTAAAGACAGCCTCTTTAATAAATGGTGTTGGGAAAATTGGACAGCTACATGCAAAAAAATGAAACTAGACCATCAACTTACACCATACACAAGAATAAACTCAAAATGGATAAAAGACTTAATGTGACTCATGAATCCATAAAAATCCTAGAAGAAAATGTAGGCAACAAAATTTCAAACATCATACGCAGGAGAATTGTCACTGATACATCACCTAAGGCAACAGAAACAAAAGAGAAAATGAACATATGGGACTACACCAAACTCAAAAGATTCTGCACAGCAAAAGATACAATCATCAAAATGGAAAGGCAACCCACTGTATGGGAGAGCATAATTGCCAATGATATATCAGATAAGGGGTTAATTTCCAATATATAGAGAGTGCTCATACAACTCAACAAAAATTCATAACTTTTAAATTACATGATGAAATTTCACACTGCCATGCCACTCCACCCAGGATGTGAATCACCCCTTTGTCCAGTGTATCCATAATGTATATGCAATCCACCCTTCAGTCACTTAGTAGCTGCTCAGTTATCAGATGGACTGTCTCAGCTTCACAGTACTTTTGTTCAAGTAATCCTTATTTGACTTAATAACAGCCCCAAAATGCAATAGTAGAGATGCTGGCAACTCAAATAGGCCAAAAAAGAAGCTGTAAAGCACTTCCTTTAAGTGAAAAGAAGACAGTTCTCAACGTAAGAAAAGGCAAAAAAAAAAATCACATGCCGAGGTTGCTAAGATCTATGGTAAGAACGAATCTTCTATCTGTGAAATTGTGAAGAAGGAAAAAGAAATGTGTGCTAGTTTTGCTGTCACACCTCAAACTGCAAAAGTTACAGCCACAGTGCATGATAAGTGCTTAGTTAAGATGGGAAAAGTATTAAACTTGGGGGTAGAAGATATGAACAGAAAACATGTTCCAACTGACAGCAATCTGTTGCGCCAGAAAGCACCGAACCTATACAGAGACTTCAGCAATGGAGCCCTGGAACAAGTGACACCCAGACATGCACTGCAAGAAAGGGTCACACAGATTTGGGAAGAGGTTGGCACTTCATCATCTCACTTCATCACAGGAAGAAAAAGGGTGAGTACAGTACAATGAGACATTTTGAGAAAGACAGAGAGAGACTCCATTCATATAACTTTTATTACAGGCTATTAATTGTTCTATTATTAATAATTTCTGTTAATTTCTTACTGTGCTTAACAAACTTTATCATAGGTATGTATGTATAGGAAAAAACATAGTTTAGTATATGTAGAAGGTATCTCCTTCAGATAAGAGGGCTCTACTATATCAGCAGTTAGGTTTTTTTGTCACTGGGTAGTATCCAATTGTGTGAATATTATTTATCCATTCACCCACTAAAGGACATCTGGGTTCTTTTCAGTTGTTTGTTGTTTTGTGTTTGCATAAATATAAGTAGCGCTGCTACAAACATTTTTGCACAGATACTTGCGTGAACACTGGTTTTCAATTCTCTGTGCTTTATACTTAGGGGTGGGTTTGCTGTGTCATATGGTAAGTGTTATGTGTAACTTCATAAGAAACTGCCCAAATTTTTCAGAGTGGCTTAAGAAATCTTGCATTCCCACCAGCAATATATTATAGCCACTTTCTCTAAACGCTTGCCAGCCCTCCATAGAGTTAGTATTTTTTAAATTTAGCCAATCTATGAGTTGTGGGTTGGTATCTTATTTTAATTTGCCTTTCCCTAATGCTAGTGAGGTTGAACATATGCTTTTTGTCATCATTGTTTCTCTTTTCGACAAGGGTTTGTTGAAGTGTTCTGATCACTTTTAAAATATATAATTTGTTTCCTGACTGTCGAATTTTGACAGTTCTTCACGTATTTTGAATACATTTCATTTGTTGAATATGAAATTTACAAATATTTTTACCCAATCTGTAGCTTGTCTTCATTTTCTTAAAGTGTCTTTCACATAGTAAGTTTTTAATTTTGATAAAGTCCAATTTATTTTTTTTATGGATCATGCTTTCGGTGTCATATTTAAGACTTTGTCTACTGCCAAGACACAAAGAGTTTTTCTCTTACATTTTCTTCTAAAAGTTTTATGTTTTATATTTAGA